TCGGGATCTTTAGGCTTCAAAAGGGTGAGTGATAATGTTGTGAGCACAATGACAACAATAACTAGGAAAATTGCTGTTATACCACAGCAGATTTTAAGACCTCTGCGCGGGGTTTTGCCGGTCGTCATGCTGGATTTCTGAGAAAATTGAGGCTCAGAAAGCTTGATAACAGGCCTAATTAGCAGGAATGGTTGGTGATTAGCAGGAATGGTTGGTGATTAGATTAATGAAGTTCATATTGATGAAGATCATATATAGGAGGTAAGAATATACAAGGTTGTGTTAATGTTCTTATTTAATTCTTGGATTTTGTTTCTCTCTATAAGAAATGAAAGTTGAATGCCAAATGTGGATGTTCATTTTAGACTATGACAAGAGATAAGTCTTTCAATCCAAACTTAAACGCCGGACAGTAGACCTATAAACTGAAGTCTTCCTAGAGGACGTCCAAGAGTTCAATGCTTGACATCCACTATGTACGATACAAGAAAATATTATAACATAACATTTGGTATGAATTGGGCTAGGCTTATATCTATTAAGCCCAAAGATGATCCAAGAAGAAAGTTGCTTGAGATATGGGCTTGGAATTGGGCTCTCTAGGCCCAGATAAATGTTCTGGTTTTTACGTTCTTTTGGGTTGCTATTGCTTCCTGTATTTTTTTTATAAATACAAACGATAGTTTATTAAAGTACAAATGAGAGGGAGACTCTCATTTATTCAAACTTATTTGAATAATTTAGTAAAGGGCAACTCTCCTCCATGTGCGAGCAATAGACTGCACCAATTAAGCTAATTGGAATACAATTTGTTGACTAGAAAAGACATTAAAAAAACCTTCCCTTTTTTTTTTCTTAAACTTGTGGAACCAACTTCTTAGGCGGCGAAAGCCAAAATTTCACGAAGCGGTATTTTAAATTATTTTAATGTACGAAGAGGTATTTTGATAATATATAGATATATATATATATATGTGAAGAGATAGTCGAATTTATTCAAATGTAAGGGACAGACACACTATATTAACCAATTCAACTAATCACATCTTGGATAAGCTCACAAACATCAAACATTGGCTTGCAATAAAAAATAAAAAAGGAAACATCAAACATTGGCTTTCAATAAAAATGAAAACATTAAACATTGGCAAACACAAACTGTCAGACAGGAAGCCGAACCTCGTTGTATACATAAACAGCGTAAAATATTTGGTAAAGTTACTGTTGAAATTCGTATGTAACGCCCTTTGTGTGAGCGTGTGGGTTTGCCTGCCTGTCTCTCTGTCTGTCTGTCAATTTGGCTCTTCTATTATTCGATATATCGCCGGCCAACGAACAAAGCCAACGACCGCGTCACTCTTCTAGCTCTCTTTCTTCCACAATCTCCCAACTTTACTCTCTCTCGCGAGCGCTCTTTCTCTGAGGCCTTTTGATTTTGTTCAAGATGAACGACCTGCTTACGGTAATTTGGTTTTTTAATTAAATTCATAAACTGTTACTATTTTGCAGTAACAGTTAGTTTGCACTGTCTTGGATGACAATTGGATTTCGTCAGTAAGATTTAAATGTTCTGAATTCGGTATTTGAATTTGGGTTTATTGGCTTTGCTTAAGAACTGGGTTGGTGCAGTTTGGTTTGGATTGGTACCCTTTTTACTGGTGATTGGCTTTTGACTGCCTGGCAAATTTTATCTGTGATTTTCATGTAAATTCCAAACTTTTGGATATTACCCACTTGTAATTTAAGATGAATCTTGTATTAGAGGAATCACAGATCACTCAAGGTTGAGTTTTCACTGATATTAACTTTGCCCCTTAGTTGATGAGATGACTGACTGAAAGGGGACCTACTGTCTTTTTTAAGAAAAGAACAGAGTTCTCAGTTTTAGTGATGCATTTTTTCCAATGGTCCCTGGAAGTCAAAAGTCTTTGATGTATGAATTTGTTATTCAGAGTTTTCTTAGCAACTGACCAGAGACTGCTGATTCTGTCATAAAAGGCTTTATATTTATTGCTTTTGTTTAACAATGATAATACCATTGAAATCAGATATTTTCTCATTAGTAAACCTTGTTCACCCAAAACTTTTTAAACCAATTGAATTGAATTTGCGTTCAACAGATTGGTTAATTTGTAAGTGTTTTTTTGCATCATCCATTGAAAATTTGGTTTTCGTGAAAAGATAGTTTGTGTTTTCTTTCTTTCAGCGTGTTGTAATCAGTGCTTATATTGTGTAATTGGGCTCTGCTTTAGGATTCATTTGTTGGTGATGCAAGAGCTCAGCCTTCTGGAACAAATGATATCGAACTGGGAAGGCCAGTTCATAGCAGTTTTGACACGGGAATGGATGCTTTCAATAAGCAGGTCTTTCCTATCCACAAAGTTTTATTTGGTTGCAGACTACATATACATAAACTGGAAGTCCAAACCGTTTAGTTTATTTGGGATTTGTGTGTATTTTTTCTTAAGATGTAATAGAAATTAAGTGATGCAGGAAGAAAGAAATCCCTAATGAAACGCATGTATTATGTTTTCTTCTTAAACTCTTTACTATTGGTTTATGTGGTTAAGATTTGCTTTTAATTTATTTTTTCTTCTTTCCGTCAACACTTCCTCAAGTTACTTTTTCCTCTTTTTTATTTTTTGTTTTGTAATTTAGATACAAGAGGTTGAGAAACAGGTGGATAAGCTCTCCGGACTTCTAAAAAAACTTAAGGTACGTTAGTTTGTATTATAAGCTTCTAATCTTTTTAAATCCTGGAATTGGGGTCAGATTTATCTAAGTTTCATTGGCTTTGGTTCTGTATTGATATGGCTATCTTGTATTTGATTGTGGTCTTTATGTTGAAACCTCTGACCTCTTGTACAGTTACAGTGTTCTTCAATGATAATTTTGGTTTCTTAACAAATCCATTCACTTATTCAATAAAAGAACATTCACATCTGCACCACACATATTTGACAGACATGTTGTTTATCAATTGCCTAACACTTTGTACTATGAACATAGTTGGCAATATGGTCAAGACTAAGTAATGTTGTTGTGCTTGTGCTAGGATTCATTTTGACAGTTGAATTTCAACTGCATGTGTGTAAGGCAGCAACTAGAAACTTACTTTGGATTTTTTATTTTTTTTTGTATAGGATGCAAATGAGGAGTCGAAGTCTGTTACAAAAGCATCTGCCATGAAAGGTATAAGCTATTTCCAACTCACCCATAGTTTGAAAAGCTTGCACCTTAAAATGCAATTTCATCAATACTATTGTTCTACAAAAAGTTAACTGTGAATCAGTACGTAGCAGAGCATGGATCACTTTAGCTAGGAACTTGTTTTGATTTTCTGTTGGGAGCAATTTTAAGCAGACTTGGCCGACTGCTTGGAACGTGGGGATAATTCTTGCTAACTGTTTACGGTGCATTATACTGATATTGTTAATCTATGTTCTGTCTGCAATACTCTAACACCATTATCCTTCTTTCAGCAATTAAAAAGCGGATGGAAAAAGATATTGATGAAGTGGGAAAGATTGCACGTGGTGTCAAAACAAAACTAGAAGCAATAAGCAAAGATGTAATACTTTAACAATTCTTCCTCAATATACCAGCTTTGTTTAATATTAGTTAGCTGTTTTCTAACTATCTAATGACTTCCCTTGTCCTTTCTCCAGAACTTAGCCAATCGACAAAAGCCTGGATGTGAGAAGGGAACAGGCGTTGACAGATCAAGAATGAACATGACAAAGTTTGTATAGAGTGCTTATATATTATATTTTAGAGTTCTTAACTCTCTATAGGCTAGTCATAAACAATTTGATTTGTAAACTACTTTTCTGTGTGGCAGTTCCTTGACAAAAAAGTTTAGGGAGATAATGATTGAGTTTCAGGTATATGTGTATCTACACATTCTGTTCGTTACTCTTTTACTCATTTTCCTCCGCTCTTTTCTTCTCACCAATGTATTATATTCCAGACCCTCAGACAACGAATCCAAGATGAATATCGTGAGGTTGTGGAGAGAAGAGTCATTACAGGTTTGAATGCCTCTTCAAGACAAGCAATTAGAGTATAAAAGTTACATATTAAGACAATGGTGTTATAATTCTATCATTATATTTTTTGATGAATGATCATATCTTTACACATTGCACTTGCAGTTACGGGAACCAGACCAGATGAGGAGGTGAGCCCGATTCCTGATTTTAGAATTTTAGGTCCAATTTCCTTTGAGAGTGTTTCTAATTTGCCTAATTTGTTGACTGTGTTAGACAATTGACAACCTGATAGAAACTGGAAATAGTGAGCAAATATTCCAAAAGGCAGTTCAAGAAATGGGAAGGGGACAGGTATGCTCCTTTTGATTCTTCTTATCCTAATTCTAAGTTTCTCCTTGTTTTCCACTTGGGAAAGTTTAGCCTGAAACTGTGAGAATTAAATATGGTACTCTGATTCCAGGTGCTAAATACTGTGGAAGAAATTCAGGAGAGGCATGACACTGTAAAAGAAATTGAGAAAAAGCTTCTTGACTTGCATCAGGTATGTGTGTTATACCATGAGGTTTGGCCCATCCACCTGAAACTAACCTTCTCTAATACGATTTTTTATTAAATTTTCAGATATACCTCGATATGGCAGTCTTGGTTGAGGCTCAAGGAGAGATTTTAGACAACATTGAAACTCAGGTTTACTTCTAACTTTGCATCCTTAGACATGCATCCACTTGTGCATATATATGTCTGCGCTGCATGTGTAATTGTGTATTGCTTTGCGTTATGTGTTGATCGGAATCTTGTCCAGGTTACGAATGCAGTCGATCATGTTCAATCTGGGAACACTGCACTTCAAAAAGCAAAGAAACTCCAGAAGAACTCCCGAAAATGGATGTGCATTGCCATCATTATTCTCTTAATAATAGTTGCTATTATAGTTGTCAGTGTCCTCAAACCATGGAAAAGTGGCTAGGGTGCTTGAGTCTGCCCTTGTCTCTTCACCATGTAATATAGATGGGTTATTATTTTCAGTTTCACCTCTGTGAGGACTGAGTGTCCTTAAACTCTTTACTATTGGTTTATGTGGTTAAGATTTGCTTTTAATTTATTTTTTCTTCTTTCCGTCAACACTTCCTCAAGTTACTTTTTCCTCTTTTTTATTTTTTGTTTTGTAATTTAGATACAAGAGGTTGAGAAACAGGTGGATAAGCTCTCCGGACTTCTAAAAAAACTTAAGGTACGTTAGTTTGTATTATAAGCTTCTAATCTTTTTAAATCCTGGAATTGGGGTCAGATTTATCTAAGTTTCATTGGCTTTGGTTCTGTATTGATATGGCTATCTTGTATTTGATTGTGGTCTTTATGTTGAAACCTCTGACCTCTTGTACAGTTACAGTGTTCTTCAATGATAATTTTGGTTTCTTAACAAATCCATTCACTTATTCAATAAAAGAACATTCACATCTGCACCACACATATTTGACAGACATGTTGTTTATCAATTGCCTAACACTTTGTACTATGAACATAGTTGGCAATATGGTCAAGACTAAGTAATGTTGTTGTGCTTGTGCTAGGATTCATTTTGACAGTTGAATTTCAACTGCATGTGTGTAAGGCAGCAACTAGAAACTTACTTTGGATTTTTTATTTTTTTTTGTATAGGATGCAAATGAGGAGTCGAAGTCTGTTACAAAAGCATCTGCCATGAAAGGTATAAGCTATTTCCAACTCACCCATAGTTTGAAAAGCTTGCACCTTAAAATGCAATTTCATCAATACTATTGTTCTACAAAAAGTTAACTGTGAATCAGTACGTAGCAGAGCATGGATCACTTTAGCTAGGAACTTGTTTTGATTTTCTGTTGGGAGCAATTTTAAGCAGACTTGGCCGACTGCTTGGAACGTGGGGATAATTCTTGCTAACTGTTTACGGTGCATTATACTGATATTGTTAATCTATGTTCTGTCTGCAATACTCTAACACCATTATCCTTCTTTCAGCAATTAAAAAGCGGATGGAAAAAGATATTGATGAAGTGGGAAAGATTGCACGTGGTGTCAAAACAAAACTAGAAGCAATAAGCAAAGATGTAATACTTTAACAATTCTTCCTCAATATACCAGCTTTGTTTAATATTAGTTAGCTGTTTTCTAACTATCTAATGACTTCCCTTGTCCTTTCTCCAGAACTTAGCCAATCGACAAAAGCCTGGATGTGAGAAGGGAACAGGCGTTGACAGATCAAGAATGAACATGACAAAGTTTGTATAGAGTGCTTATATATTATATTTTAGAGTTCTTAACTCTCTATAGGCTAGTCATAAACAATTTGATTTGTAAACTACTTTTCTGTGTGGCAGTTCCTTGACAAAAAAGTTTAGGGAGATAATGATTGAGTTTCAGGTATATGTGTATCTACACATTCTGTTCGTTACTCTTTTACTCATTTTCCTCCGCTCTTTTCTTCTCACCAATGTATTATATTCCAGACCCTCAGACAACGAATCCAAGATGAATATCGTGAGGTTGTGGAGAGAAGAGTCATTACAGGTTTGAATGCCTCTTCAAGACAAGCAATTAGAGTATAAAAGTTACATATTAAGACAATGGTGTTATAATTCTATCATTATATTTTTTGATGAATGATCATATCTTTACACATTGCACTTGCAGTTACGGGAACCAGACCAGATGAGGAGGTGAGCCCGATTCCTGATTTTAGAATTTTAGGTCCAATTTCCTTTGAGAGTGTTTCTAATTTGCCTAATTTGTTGACTGTGTTAGACAATTGACAACCTGATAGAAACTGGAAATAGTGAGCAAATATTCCAAAAGGCAGTTCAAGAAATGGGAAGGGGACAGGTATGCTCCTTTTGATTCTTCTTATCCTAATTCTAAGTTTCTCCTTGTTTTCCACTTGGGAAAGTTTAGCCTGAAACTGTGAGAATTAAATATGGTACTCTGATTCCAGGTGCTAAATACTGTGGAAGAAATTCAGGAGAGGCATGACACTGTAAAAGAAATTGAGAAAAAGCTTCTTGACTTGCATCAGGTATGTGTGTTATACCATGAGGTTTGGCCCATCCACCTGAAACTAACCTTCTCTAATACGATTTTTTATTAAATTTTCAGATATACCTCGATATGGCAGTCTTGGTTGAGGCTCAAGGAGAGATTTTAGACAACATTGAAACTCAGGTTTACTTCTAACTTTGCATCCTTAGACATGCATCCACTTGTGCATATATATGTCTGCGCTGCATGTGTAATTGTGTATTGCTTTGCGTTATGTGTTGATCGGAATCTTGTCCAGGTTACGAATGCAGTCGATCATGTTCAATCTGGGAACACTGCACTTCAAAAAGCAAAGAAACTCCAGAAGAACTCCCGAAAATGGATGTGCATTGCCATCATTATTCTCTTAATAATAGTTGCTATTATAGTTGTCAGTGTCCTCAAACCATGGAAAAGTGGCTAGGGTGCTTGAGTCTGCCCTTGTCTCTTCACCATGTAATATAGATGGGTTATTATTTTCAGTTTCACCTCTGTGAGGACTGAGTGTCTTACTTGTTTAGTTGTGATTTTTTCTGTTGATTTTTGTTTGTTTGTTTGTTTGTTTGTTTGTTTGTTTTTGTTTTTATGTTGCTTTCTTCTTCTCTTCTGGCTTTTAAATGTTTTATTTTGTGTGTATTCTTGTGAAGCTCGGTTTATTCATGGTGGTGTACATTTCATACTACGAACTGAAAACGATTGTAAGGTTGTCCTCATCAAGGGGATTGCTTTGAGACATGCATTATAATTTCTTTGCGGTATTGACAATTTGACCTTTTCTTATTTAAAAAAAAATGTTTCACTCTTTTAATTTTTTTAAATTTTTAAATTTGTACATTTTCAAATGCATGGACAAGAATTATGTCTAATAAAAATGAATCAATGAATAAAATTCCCTAACATATAAAAAAGGATGGATTATATTAATATTTAATTTTATCTAAATATTATTCTTATTAGCAACAACCATATGGAATTTATAAACTTGTTTTTGTTTTTGTTTTTAAATAAAAAATTTCATCGTATTTAAAAGACTTAATAAAATTTACATGCAATTATATTATATTAACTTTTTGTCTCATATATCAGTGTGTTATCATATGCCAATTCGCCACTTTCTATTTCATGATTTTAATTAATCAAAATCAGAAATTCTTTTTATATATGATTATTTTTCAAGGAGGCTAAACGTCCTGCAGGTTGGATGTATCCACTTACCCTTTTGTGGTCTTTTGAAAAAAATGGCCTGCCTTGTCTTCTGGAGGTAATGAAGATAATGAAAATGGGCTCCAACCCTAGGTTCCACTACTTCCAAAACTGCTAACAAATCCATTCCGCCTAAACCAGGTTCAACCTAGTGACATCTTTCAACGTTTGAATTTTTGTACGAGCCGGTTATATGTAACGTTTTTTTTTCCTCACCATGTGGATTTAGGTTTCATTATAAACTAGTAAGACTTATATGCATGTTGTGAGAGAGAAGTTGCATATAACGAGCGAGAATTCAACCACCTTTATACTAACCTAAGCCTTGGCTATTATACCTCTAACCCAACAGTTATTGTCCTTCATTTGCCTTCCTTCCCATTATAATATAACCAATCCAATTCAACACTGCAGTGGCTGTCCATATGGTGTTAAGAGGTTTTTAGGGTGGTTAGATTTCAAACTAGGGTTACGATTCATAATTTGATTTCTATTTGTGATCGTGTGAATTGACCTAACAAATTGAAGATTACTATATGTGTGCATTGATAGTTTAACATGTATGCTAATATTTCGACCTGAAAAAAAAAATTGTATGTTAATATATATTTATCTTTTTTAACTGAAACCCCTCTTAACACCTAAATTACAAATTAGATCGATTGTATGTTTTCTTCTTCATTTATGATATTTGGTGGGTTTTGGAGATTAATTATATCCCTCTTATAAGGTACATCTTAGGTTTTGTTCTTCACTTATGGTATGATACTCATGAGGGTTGATTTTGGGAATTGATGATATATTGGGTTGGGTTGTTTTGGGCTTATTTACTAACAGGGCTTGTTTTGGGTTGAGGACATAAGTCTTTGGATCAACTTCAAATAGACATTGGCCCAATGCATTTTTGTTTTTGTTTTTGGTCTGATCCAATGCAATTTTGTTAATGCATGCTTACCTTGCCTCTCATAAAATTAAACAGGTCTAACTTTACTCTGGTGCAATTTGAAAAAAACTCATTGAGTAAATTGTATTATTTGTCTTTGGTCCACAGGTGACAAATGCAGTGGACCATGTACAATCAGGGACAGATGCTCTACAAACTGCAAAGAGCTTGCAAAAGAAGTCAAGGAAATGCATGATGATTTCCATAATCTTGCTCTTGATTACTGCACTCATCATTGTGCTCTCCATTCTGAAGCCATGGAAGAAGTAATTAAGCAGTGCAAGGTTGGCAATCTTCCTTTCAGCACAGATACTCAGCCTATCTTTACTCAATAATTACAAGGTGCATCTTTTTCTCCGTAATTTTTTATTCTTTTTTCTTTTGGTGGGGAGGGGAAGAGGAATTGGTTCTGTAAAGACACAATTATTCAGAAACAATGTCAGATCGTGTATTGGCTTTCATCATCATGATTTTCTTCTTTTATGAGACTTCAAAACAACAGAAAATTACATAACTGATTTCAGGAAAGTCAGGCAGGATTAGCAACTGCAGAGTTGGGGTTCAATAATGAGCTGCGTACTCTTTCTGTAAGTTCTGAATTTTATTCATGTCAGATAGAAAAAGGAAAAAGAATTACTTAATAGCTGTGAAGAAAAGAAAGAAAAATGCTTGATGAAGACCACTGGCAGCTAATTGATGAGACCAGACAAAAAACTGTGAAGTTATCATAATTGATGCTAATAAAGGCAATACAAAAGCTTTGATGGAAAATGAAACCAGAATCAGAAAAAACAACCGAGTAAATTATGAGAAATAAGAAGAGAAAATTCATGATTTTTCTCTTACCCAGCATGCCTTGTAAGCCATTTACTCCTTGTAGCTGATTCTTTTGAGGGTAGGGAGGGAGAAAGACTTCCATGAAACGGGAATAACACTATTTTGCGACTTCCATGAAACGGGAAAAACACTATTTTGCTATCCTCGTTGCAACTAAGTTTTTCTCGTAGGGAGGAAGTAGGGGAACTGTTACTACTTTAAATGCATGCAGCATTTATGGAAAACTTCAACAAACAGATGAGGAAACAGAGGAATTAATAGGAATGGAAGGATACATTTCAAACTTGAAAAGGAAAAATATCCCATTACAGTACACAAGAACAAGTTTGGTCCTCACTTTAGAGACTAACAAAAGAAGTACTAGAATGCACTAGGTAGCAAAAACAAAAAAAAATATACCCAGAAGGTCCCAATCACCTATATCATATATTTCAGCACATTATTCTACCCCAGTTCCCAAAGTACCCTTGGACCAAACTCAATTCAAGTGGCTCTCTCTCTGTCTCTTACATTCTTGACTTGGCAATCACAATATTTCCTTCACTCAGATCTGTGGTTCCTGTCCTGGTCCATGATTCTTTGAATTGTTCTTCAGTCACTCCTGCAAAAGAAGAAACAAAAATGAAACAATGATGGTCAATAATGTAATTAATCACACTTTCATTTTACCAAGAGAACAAAACATTTAGAATGACTTGCCTTTGCCCATAGCAGCAGTTGAAGAAATGCCTCCCTGGACAGTCTTAAGGTACCTATCATAGAAATTAGCACCAGACCATTTCTGATGAGCAAGTGTGTCAACTCCATTGTTCCTCTCCTCCCTCTGGATTCTCTCAACATAAGCCAGCATTCCCCTCCTAGCATAGTCCTTCGCGAAAGTGTCGACCACAAGCGCATCAGCATGGAAACCAGCCAGTGTTATAAATTGCCAGCAGTACCCCAACTTTGCTATCCTCGGAATGAAGTCCTTCATTTGATCATCAGTCATTCCAGATGCATCCCAATTGAAAGATGGTGATAGATTATAAGCCAACATGACCTCAGGCTGCAGAGACTTCACCCCCTCGGCAAATTGGGTGCACTCAACCATGTCGGGGCTCGCTGTCTCCATCCAAATAATATCAGCATGATCAGTAAAAGCCCAGCCACGCACAACAGCTGCCATCACAGACCCTTTGAACCTATAGAACCCTTCTCTGGTCCTAGGCAAGTCCCAGTCCCAGAAGAGGTTCTTAAGCCCCAACCTCTCAGCAATCTCGCGGCCTTTCTCATTTGACAAACACTTATCAGGGCTAGAATGGTTGATCCATTCATTCAGTCTCCCCCTTTTCTCATGTTCACCGACGTTCATGGCCTTAATTGCATCTGTGACACACTCAGAAAATGTCTTCAACTGTGCCATTGAAATCCAATTGTCCTCAAGGGCCTGCAGCTCAGCTCCTGTTTTGCCAGCAGCCATGGCTTCAGCTAGAAGGGTAGCCAAACTCTTCCCTCTGAGATTCGGGTTTGTTACCCCAAATATAAACTGATGGTCTCTGGTGTCCACATTGGTTTGGATCAAAGTAGCGCCAACTGCATCAGTTCTAGCCACCAAGACAGTCTCAGTTCCCATGACATCAAATTGCAACCTTGCAGCCACAAGTCTATTAATATGTTCACCAACAGAAACAAGCACTTTCCCTGCCATGTGACCACATTTTTTGGTCACAGAGGACTGGTCCTCAATGTGAACACCAGCAGCGCCACGCTCCACAAAAAGCTTGCAAAGCTTAACAGTTGCTGTGGTGCCACCAAAACCAGTATCACCATCAGCAATTATTGGCTTCAAGTAATCAATATAAGGGGTTCTAGCCCTCTCTTCCCGGCTCATGCTCATCCGTGCCTCTTTTTGCTTGCGATCATGGTATTGTTGCGCGAAAAACAAATGCTCCACCTTGTTTGGGACGGTGTCATAGGGATAATAAATGGACCTCCTTTGGATCAACTTCAAATAGACATTGGCCCAATGCATTTTTGTTTTTGTTTTTGGTCTGATCCAATGCAATTTTGTTAATGCATGCTTACCTTGCCTCTCATAAAATTAAACAGGTCTAACTTTACTCTGGTGCAATTTGAAAAAAACTCATTGAGTAAATTGTATTATTTGTCTTTGGTCCACAGGTGACAAATGCAGTGGACCATGTACAATCAGGGACAGATGCTCTACAAACTGCAAAGAGCTTGCAAAAGAAGTCAAGGAAATGCATGATGATTTCCATAATCTTGCTCTTGATTATTGCACTCATCATTGTGCTCTCCATTCTGAAGCCATGGAAGAAGTAATTAAGCAGTACAAGGTTGGCAATCTTCCTTTCAGCACAGATACTCAGCCTATCTTTACTCAATAATTACAAGGTGCATCTTTTTCTCTGTAATTTTTTATTCTTTTTTCTTTTGGTGGGGAGGGGAAGAGGAATTGGTTCTGTAAAGACACAATTATTCAGAAACAATGTCAGATCGTGTATTGGCTTTCATCATCATGATTTTCTTCTTTTATGAGACTTCAAAACAACAGAAAATTACATAACTGATTTCAGGAAAGTCAGGCAGGATTAGCAACTGCAGAGTTGGGGTTCAATAATGAGCTGCGTACTCTTTCTGTAAGTTCTGAATTTTATTCATGTCAGATAGAAAAAGGAAAAAGAATTACTTAATAGCTGTGAAGAAAAGAAAGAAAAATGCTTGATGAAGACCACTGGCAGCTAATTGATGAGACCAGACAAAAAACTGTGAAGTTATCATAATTGATGCTAATAAAGGCAATACAAAAGCTTTGATGGAAAATGAAACCAGAATCAGAAAAAACAACCGAGTAAATTATGAGAAATAAGAAGAGAAAATTCATGATTTTTCTCTTACCCAGCATGCCTTGTAAGCCATTTACTCCTTGTAGCTGATTCTTTTGAGGGTAGGGAGGGAGAAAGACTTCCATGAAACGGGAATAACACTATTTTGCGACTTCCATGAAACGGGAAAAACACTATTTTGCTATCCTCGTTGCAACTAAGTTTTTCTCGTAGGGAGGAAGTAGGGGAACTGTTACTACTTTAAATGCATGCAGCATTTATGGAAAACTTCAACAAACAGATGAGGAAACAGAGGAATTAATAGGAATGGAAGGATACATTTCAAACTTGAAAAGGAAAAATATCCCATTACAGTACACAAGAACAAGTTTGGTCCTCACTTTAGAGACTAACAAAAGAAGTACTAGAATGCACTAGGTAGCAAAAACAAAAAAAAATATACCCAGAAGGTCCCAATCACCTATATCATATATTTCAGCACATTATTCTACCCCAGTTCCCAAAGTACCCTTGGACCAAACTCAATTCAAGTGGCTCTCTCTCTGTCTCTTACATTCTTGACTTGGCAATCACAATATTTCCTTCACTCAGATCTGTGGTTCCTGTCCTGGTCCATGATTCTTTGAATTGTTCTTCAGTCACTCCTGCAAAAGAAGAAACAAAAATGAAACAATGATGGTCAATAATGTAATTAATCACACTTTCATTTTACCAAGAGAACAAAACATTTAGAATGACTTGCCTTTGCCCATAGCAGCAGTTGAAGAAATGCCTCCCTGGACAGTCTTAAGGTACCTATCATAGAAATTAGCACCAGACCATTTCTGATGAGCAAGTGTGTCAACTCCATTGTTCCTCTCCTCCCTCTGGATTCTCTCAACATAAGCCAGCATTCCCCTCCTAGCATAGTCCTTCGCGAAAGTGTCGACCACAAGCGCATCAGCATGGAAACCAGCCAGTGTTATAAATTGCCAGCAGTACCCCAACTTTGCTATCCTCGGAATGAAGTCCTTCATTTGATCATCAGTCATTCCAGATGCATCCCAATTGAAAGATGGTGATAGATTATAAGCCAACATGACCTCAGGCTGCAGAGACTTCACCCCCTCGGCAAATTGGGTGCACTCAACCATGTCGGGGCTCGCTGTCTCCATCCAAATAATATCAGCATGATCAGTAAAAGCCCAGCCACGCACAACAGCTGCCATCACAGACCCTTTGAACCTATAGAACCCTTCTCTGGTCCTAGGCAAGTCCCAGTCCCAGAAGAGGTTCTTAAGCCCCAACCTCTCAGCAATCTCGCGGCCTTTCTCATTTGACAAACACTTATCAGGGCTAGAATGGTTGATCCATTCATTCAGTCTCCCCCTTTTCTCATGTTCACCGACGTTCATGGCCTTAATTGCATCTGTGACACACTCAGAAAATGTCTTCAACTGTGCCATTGAAATCCAATTGTCCTCAAGGGCCTGCAGCTCAGCTCCTGTTTTGCCAGCAGCCATGGCTTCAGCTAGAAGGGTAGCCAAACTCTTCCCTCTGAGATTCGGGTTTGTTACCCCAAATATAAACTGATGGTCTCTGGTGTCCACATTGGTTTGGATCAAAGTAGCGCCAACTGCATCAGTTCTAGCCACCAAGACAGTCTCAGTTCCCATGACATCAAATTGCAACCTTGCAGCCACAAGTCTATTAATATGTTCACCAACAGAAACAAGCACTTTCCCTGCCATGTGACCACATTTTTTGGTCACAGAGGACTGGTCCTCAATGTGAACACCAGCAGCGCCACGCTCCACAAAAAGCTTGCAAAGCTTAACAGTTGCTGTGGTGCCACCAAAACCAGTATCACCATCAGCAATTATTGGCTTCAAGTAATCAATATAAGGGGTTCTAGCCCTCTCTTCCCGGCTCATGCTCATCCGTGCCTCTTTTTGCTTGCGATCATGGTATTGTTGCGCGAAAAACAAATGCTCCACCTTGTTTGGGACGGTGTCATAGGGATAATCAGCAAGGTCAGGACCAGGCTCATTGGTGCTGGTGTGTGTAGACGAGCATTGCCAACCGGAGACATAAATGGTGTCCAAATGCTTGGCCATCATGGTGACTTGGACAGGGTCTAGTGCACCAAAAGTTCTTGAGGATGTGCCGTTGGCTTGATGAGTTTTGAGAGTTCTCCACAGCTTTTTGGCATGCTTACCTTGCCTCTCATAAAATTAAACAGGTCTAACTTTACTCTGGTGCAATTTGAAAAAAACTCATTGAGTAAATTGTATTATTTGTCTTTGGTCCACAGGTGACAAATGCAGTGGACCATGTACAATCAGGGACAGATGCTCTACAAACTGCAAAGAGCTTGCAAAAGAAGTCAAGGAAATGCATGATGATTTCCATAATCTTGCTCTTGATTATTGCACTCATCATTGTGCTCTCCATTCTGAAGCCATGGAAGAAGTAATTAAGCAGTACAAGGTTGGCAATCTTCCTTTCAGCACAGATACTCAGCCTATCTTTACTCAATAATTACAAGGTGCATCTTTTTCTCTGTAATTTTTTATTCTTTTTTCTTTTGGTGGGGAGGGGAAGAGGAATTGGTTCTGTAAAGACACAATTATTCAGAAACAATGTCAGATCGTGTATTGGCTTTCATCATCATGATTTTCTTCTTTTATGAGACTTCAAAACAACAGAAAATTACATAACTGATTTCAGGAAAGTCAGGCAGGATTAGCAACTGCAGAGTTGGGGTTCAATAATGAGCTGCGTACTCTTTCTGTAAGTTCTGAATTTTATTCATGTCAGATAGAAAAAGGAAAAAGAATTACTTAATAGCTGTGAAGAAAAGAAAGAAAAATGCTTGATGAAGACCACTGGCAGCTAATTGATGAGACCAGACAAAAAACTGTGAAGTTATCATAATTGATGCTAATAAAGGCAATACAAAAGCTTTGATGGAAAATGAAACCAGAATCAGAAAAAACAACCGAGTAAATTATGAGAAATAAGAAGAGAAAATTCATGATTTTTCTCTTACCCAGCATGCCTTGTAAGCCATTTACTCCTTGTAGCTGATTCTTTTGAGGGTAGGGAGGGAGAAAGACTTCCATGAAACGGGAATAACACTATTTTGCGACTTCCATGAAACGGGAAAAACACTATTTTGCTATCCTCGTTGCAACTAAGTTTTTCTCGTAGGGAGGAAGTAGGGGAACTGTTACTACTTTAAATGCATGCAGCATTTATGGAAAACTTCAACAAACAGATGAGGAAACAGAGGAATTAATAGGAATGGAAGGATACATTTCAAACTTGAAAAGGAAAAATATCCCATTACAGTACACAAGAACAAGTTTGGTCCTCACTTTAGAGACTAACAAAAGAAGTACTAGAATGCACTAGGTAGCAAAAACAAAAAAAAATATACCCAGAAGGTCCCAATCACCTATATCATATATTTCAGCACATTATTCTACCCCAGTTCCCAAAGTACCCTTGGACCAAACTCAATTCAAGTGGCTCTCTCTCTGTCTCTTACATTCTTGACTTGGCAATCACAATATTTCCTTCACTCAGATCTGTGGTTCCTGTCCTGGTCCATGATTCTTTGAATTGTTCTTCAGTCACTCCTGCAAAAGAAGAAACAAAAATGAAACAATGATGGTCAATAATGTAATTAATCACACTTTCATTTTACCAAGAGAACAAAACATTTAGAATGACTTGCCTTTGCCCATAGCAGCAGTTGAAGAAATGCCTCCCTGGACAGTCTTAAGGTACCTATCATAGAAATTAGCACCAGACCATTTCTGATGAGCAAGTGTGTCAACTCCATTGTTCCTCTCCTCCCTCTGGATTCTCTCAACATAAGCCAGCATTCCCCTCCTAGCATAGTCCTTCGCGAAAGTGTCGACCACAAGCGCATCAGCATGGAAACCAGCCAGTGTTATAAATTGCCAGCAGTACCCCAACTTTGCTATCCTCGGAATGAAGTCCTTCATTTGATCATCAGTCATTCCAGATGCATCCCAATTGAAAGATGGTGATAGATTATAAGCCAACATGACCTCAGGCTGCAGAGACTTCACCCCCTCGGCAAATTGGGTGCACTCAACCATGTCGGGGCTCGCTGTCTCCATCCAAATAATATCAGCATGATCAGTAAAAGCCCAGCCACGCACAACAGCTGCCATCACAGACCCTTTGAACCTATAGAACCCTTCTCTGGTCCTAGGCAAGTCCCAGTCCCAGAAGAGGTTCTTAAGCCCCAACCTCTCAGCAATCTCGCGGCCTTTCTCATTTGACAAACACTTATCAGGGCTAGAATGGTTGATCCATTCATTCAGTCTCCCCCTTTTCTCATGTTCACCGACGTTCATGGCCTTAATTGCATCTGTGACACACTCAGAAAATGTCTTCAACTGTGCCATTGAAATCCAATTGTCCTCAAGGGCCTGCAGCTCAGCTCCTGTTTTGCCAGCAGCCATGGCTTCAGCTAGAAGGGTAGCCAAACTCTTCCCTCTGAGATTCGGGTTTGTTACCCCAAATATAAACTGATGGTCTCTGGTGTCCACATTGGTTTGGATCAAAGTAGCGCCAACTGCATCAGTTCTAGCCACCAAGACAGTCTCAGTTCCCATGACATCAAATTGCAACCTTGCAGCCACAAGTCTATTAATATGTTCACCAACAGAAACAAGCACTTTCCCTGCCATGTGACCACATTTTTTGGTCACAGAGGACTGGTCCTCAATGTGAACACCAGCAGCGCCACGCTCCACAAAAAGCTTGCAAAGCTTAACAGTTGCTGTGGTGCCACCAAAACCAGTATCACCATCAGCAATTATTGGCTTCAAGTAATCAATATAAGGGGTTCTAGCCCTCTCTTCCCGGCTCATGCTCATCCGCGCCTCTTTTTGCTTGCGATCATGGTATTGTTGCGCGAAAAACAAATGCTCCACCTTGTTTGGGACGGTGTCATAGGGATAATCAGCAAGGTCAGGACCAGGCTCATTGGTGCTGGTGTGTGTAGACGAGCATTGCCAACCGGAGACATAAATGGTGTCCAAATGCTTGGCCATCATGGTGACTTGGACAGGGTCTAGTGCACCAAAAGTTCTTGAGGATGTGCCGTTGGCTTGATGAGTTTTGAGAGTTCTCCACAGCTTTTTGGCCATTTCATTTGAGCCATAGCTTTGTCTAAGGGTCCCTCTTAGTGCCACAACGTCTTTAGCTGCGTATGGACGTTTTGTTAGCTTGAACCTCTCTGAGCCCCACCATGCCTGCACATCTGCTACCTCGGCTTCAAACCTTCCTTCTTCTTCCATTATCTGTATACAAAATTCCGGCATAGTTACAAACATGTAGAAAAGCAATTTGCATTGCTTAATTTTGAACTCATTTTAGTTGGAAATTCGTATAATTTATGCTCCATCTACGGTTCTTCATAACAACATCAAGTGCATACATATCATATAGATACATGCAAATATAGGTACATGATCTTTCAAAGAAGAATGAAATACTTATCACTTTTTAACAAATTTATCAACTTTTTAGGAATGGCAAGCTCCTCCTTGACCAAATTAACCCACATATCCATAACTCAATGGCAACAATTGATGCCATGCATGCTAATAAGCCATCTGTGAGAACTTAAGTATTTAAGGTCAAATTTTCTTTCCTTTTTAATCATAACATTGGGCCTGGTTAGAGAGTCTAGCTCCTTCTATACGCCCGGCGTAGTAGAAAAGGTGTGGGACCTGCAAAAAATGTAGGTCTCACTCACACCTATCACCGACTATTGTGAGAGCCAGTTGCAATGCGCCAGACCAGACGTATAGAAGTTTGTTTGGGTGATGAGACTAGGTACAAAAAATGAAACCGAATCCTCAGTATAAAATATGAACAGACTAAATGAAACTAGGGAAAACCAATTATATGAAACACTGAAAAAGTGCTCGAATATTATTATAATGCAGTATAGAAATAGCTCAAATTAGGCAAATCCTAGGAGAGAACTACAAGCAAGGACACAACTAACAGAAAAAATGAAGACAAAGAGAGAAAGGTTGTTCATGGCTTACCATTGAAGGCACTGAGTAAGATGCAGCCATGGCTAGAACTTGTTTTTGGTATGAAATCTTTGTGAAACAAGTAGGAGAAGTTCATGAGAAAGCTCTTCCAAGTCCCAATATTTATAACACCAGCGGGGTAGAGGTAACAAGTTCTTGCGACAATGCTAAAACTCTACCCTTGTGGATAAGAAAGAAACAAAAACCAAGAAATTTCCACTGTGCTTCTCGATATTAAATATTTATTTTTATCATGTAATAAATATATTTCATTGTTTATCTTTTGCAGAAAAAAAAGCGAAACTTGTCCCATGGGAGCTGCATTTGCAGGCACGTAGGGTGATGGCATGCACTAGTTCTCTAACAATCCTGAGTCACCATGCTTAATTGTCTTCTTCTTCCAATTTTGGATGATGTCATTATTTTTTATAACACGATAAAAGAAGAGTAACTGATTCTGTTTTTCTGTTTGCTTTTTTTATTATTACTTTAGTTCTTCAACTGCCCCAGATGTGCCTAGCTAGGCCACTTTTATTGTTCTTCAATTTGCTTTCTGGTTTCTGCATATGAACTAAATCTTAGCTGGTTATTATTTCTTTTGATGCTCATATACAAAAGTTTGTGTGTGTGTGTGACAAATGTTTTTGGTTTGTTTAAGATGAGACACCCAATATCGAGCCATCAATGTAGACCAAGGGATGAAAATTTCGACATCGAAATAAATGATTGTTGACTAAAGATTGAACCAGATAAAATTGTAGCATAATTAGGCTTCTCCCATTCATGATAAAGGACTTGAGAAGATTATTTCCCGTGAAACTCTGATATACATCGTTGGCTCATTCTTTTGTCGAACATAATAGCTTGTACAAGATGAAGTTGAGAAGATTCATGATTTATTTACTTGTTTGTTCTTCTTAACTGCATGTGATCGATGAGATTAAAATCCAACCTAGCTCAAGTTATAGTTAAAGTAGCACCAGAGTTGGTTTGTTGCTTTTGTCCTTTAAACCTTACCCAAAGCCTTGAAAAACCCTGTTCTACGGTTTTCTCTCTTTCTGGTCTGGGCAATGCGTCTTTCTGTCCAGGTGGCAACAAAAAACATTTGACACAGTCACACAGCCGTGACAGATGTGGATAAATGCACACGGCTTCTGTAACATATATACATTCGATCTGGAGGCATGTGGATAACAGAAGAAAGAAAAACTTAGCATTTATCTTCTGTAATATTAGGTTGAAGCTTAAACTTTCCTTGTATATATAATTCTTCAGTTCATATGTTATAGCCCTTTTAATTGGGTAAAAAGGGTTGCAAGAGTTTGTTAGATTGGCCATGAGCATGAGTGAGATGAGTAGTATAAAGGGTTGCATGATTTGGGGATTTGGACTTTCCCAAGGAGCTAGCTAGGTGAAGCTCTCTGGATGGATAACCCTATCTCCTAACTAGATGACAATCTTATCCTCATGAAGTTTTCTCTATTGGTATGTTTACCCTTCATTTCTTTGCACATTATCTTGCAGCAGAAGTGGCTAAAATTGACCAGAAAAGAAAGAAGAGAAAAAAAATCTCTCATTTGCATATGTTGATGCGCAAAAAATGGTCGGATACTTTTGGTCCAACTTAGGAATGATGTCACCTTCGGCCCTGCATGGTCTTCGACAGAGTGGATATAATGCAAGATAAAGAACTAGCGGTAAGACCTTTGGTATTGGTGTGGTTACCGGCTGAAGACTCTCCAATACTTAAGTTAGTATCGAGTATGGAGTGATTAGTGATTTGGACAGAGTGATTACTGAATATATAAATGTCTCAGTTACCTTGTTTTGGGGACTTGCGCCCCTATTTATAGACTTCGGGAGATGTGCATCTTGAGTGGGATTTCGATGTGGAATTGTGGGCATTGCCTGAGGAAGCGCCACATGTCCTTGTGAGAAATTCCTAATGAAGTGTGGTCTTTTGTCATGATCAGCAGCTCATGGTGCGAAAGACTCACATCCTGCCGATGGTACTTTGTGGGACGCAATTGATTACTGGTTTTAACGGGTCCTTTTCGTGGATCCCTTGTTCCACGTGTCGTTCTTTGATTGACCGGTCATGCATGCTATGAACAGAATGCATGGTTAATCAAACTCTCGGAACGTCATGCCATACACATGCATTACACATATGGGTCTTAATTCATTAACATTTTCTTATTGGTAAATTATATGGTCTGGTTGGCAAGTGGGCAGTTATAGCATATCATATGCAGTAGAAAAATCAAGATTGGGATAACATGTATATACGTCATGGACTTGGAGGGGATAGATATATTTGCACCGTCTGAAAATGACGATATATGCGCACCAGATGAGTATATTGAATTGAGATAAACATAATAATAATGGTATGAATTTGAACACATCCTTCCTTGTGAGAATATGAGGAAGGAGGAGGTTTTCTTTGGGAAATGGGAGATTGAGAACGTAGAAGGCGCAATCAACTCATTTCGAGTGGTCCTCAATTGCTGCTGATAATTCTGGCAGGGCAGCATGTTTTGGATTTTGAGCATTTCGAGGTGGAACAAAGAACCTTCTTATCTCACATATCTTTGGAATCTCTCTCATTCCTTCTCTTTTTCTAAATAATTGCATCACTCATTTTATGTTCAACAATACTAATCTTATCATATTTTGTGTTATATACCATATTTTTATATCACGTGACGTGGTATGTGACGTATATATGCCACGTTATTAAATGAAGTAACAAGTTCAACTGGGTACACCTTTCAGCTAAACCATGTCTCTTCCTAGTATCTCCTTCTTGACGACTGGATTCCTCACCTGCGATACACTTCGACTTTGATTTTGGTATTCTTGTTAGCCTCTTTAGAGAACTATGATGCCCTGTTAGAGGCAGATTTGCTTGTGACAGGTTATATATTACAATGTTTTGAGTAATGTTAATTTACAAGTATAGACTGGTTAGATAGTTTTATTTATTTATAATATTGTTAAAATAGTTACCTACCATACAAGTTAATTGATTATTAGTACCACTAGTTCATGTGTCGCATAAAGTTCTATCTAAAGACTAGAGAACTATAATGTATGGTAATGATTTATCTAGATGGCCCATCATATGTGTCAATTTCAACTAGGCCCAACACTTCTATTACGGGGGCAAGCAAGAGCCATTGTTTCTAGGCCCGCAAAAATTAATATACAAATTATATTTATGATTTTATTTTTTTTAATTTTTTTTAGAGAAATTATTTTATTAATTAATGAGTGAGAGAAAATGGAGAAAACTCCTCATTTCATGTTTGGAAACTGGAATTGAACCGAATTGAAGAGAATAACACAAATCCAATGATGTGTTTGGTATTACACATGATTAAGAGGTTGGATTAATTGGAATGTCATATTACATGGCCTAGCATGAATAGACATAATCCAATCCAACTTAGTGCCCGTTTGGCATTACTTATTTGGAGTTATAAGTGATTATTTCGAAATTTTTGAAAGCCCAGCCTATTTGGTGAGAAAAAAAAAAAAATCACTTATTGTAAATAATTGTTGTGAGATAAAATAATTAGCGAAAGCATCTAATGAGCTGCTTTCATTTTTTGATTATGTGGTAATTAGTTGGGAGAGCGCGCTATGACTTTAATGAAAATTCCAAAATTCCAAAAATAACCCCATCTATTTCTTGCTCGTGTCTCTTTTCTCCTCGTTTTAGTTTTCTCCTTCCCATTGCTCTCTTCCACGCTCACTTGTTCATGAGTGTAAGAGGAGCTCTTCTCCTTCTCTTCCACTTGTTCTTCAATTTTTCTTGTTGGATCAATTGAAGCCTTCTTTAGAAGCTAGAAGACTCAGGTAAGAGATATATTAGGTTTATTTTTCTTGTCAATTTCATTCTTCTCAATTGGGGTTAGGGAAGCTCGCTGATTATGGTACAATTACAAATCAAACTGATATGATAACAGCGATCGATAAGATTAATATTATCATTCTTCCTGTAAATCTTAGAAATACCAATTTCATAGTCACTCATTCTCTGGAGAAACCCCAAAAATAGACCTTGTGATCTTCTTTGAGATTAATGATTCGGCAATGACAACTGGAATACGAAATGATTGGAAAGCCATGAGACAAAGTAGCCATGACTCGTTTTTCCCCTTGTTACTATCTTACTGATGAAGAAGAAGCTTTAGAAATGAAATGGCAAAGGTTTTTGCATTGAACAATAAACAATTTGCTGTTCTTCAAGGTGACCCAAAAACCAATATGGACCCTTAATTCGATTATTTAAATGGACAATTCCTTGCTCCTGCTTGTTAAGAACCAAATTCTTATTTCTTACCAGAGAAGACTCGAGAGAGTGAACCCAGCCCATTTCATTTCATACTACAAAGATAACAACTTGAGTAAAAAGAAAAAAATGATGCTTTTTAATTAGATGCTCCATTTCAAACCATAGACCAGTCCCCTAAATAATTTCATTATTTAAGTGGAGAATTTGAAACACTTGAATAGAAGATTTAATTCATCATAATGTTCTTTTTAGTCATTATCCACAGCTCACAACACTTTCACACAAAAATTTATCAAACACTCAAAAACTGATTATTGTACTAACATCACTTTTAACAAAAAGTTTACCAAATGCCAAACTACTTTCTTTCACAATTGATTTCTCTCAAAGCAAATCTAACATTGATTTCTCTCAAAGCAAATCTAACAGCGATTGTGTTCACAACACAACAATGCCAAGCTATGAATGCATAAGCAGGTAAAGAGTAAATGTGTTGAGCGACATTTTTTATTTTGTCGATAATCCTTGCACATTTGTGAATAGTATGATTAATTAGACATAATCCAGTCTAGGTTGTTTTCAGTCACTAAACAATTGATTAAGATTATGAATCTTATCCAAAAATATAATCAAACTCGTCAATCGGTGTGTCTCCAATTGGAGAAGAGAAACTATTGATTAGATTGTGAATCGGCATGATCAATTAAATGAAATCAAGGTACTATGAAGCTTGTTTAGAGCGGCTAACTATCAATCCCTGGGGTTGCTCGTTCTTTAGGGATGGAGGGTGCGCTTGCCCCTGTTTTTTTAAATATGCATCCATTGATGATCCCCATGATTTCCATGTTTTCATTTCATATCGTTTTGCATGTGGTTTTTCATGATGCTACCGCTTACTCTAGCTAACGGTCTTCACCCATGCCAAGACAAATCATTTGCGGCATACAGTATTATAAGATAATAAAATAAGATCACAGGCCAGAAAAGAAAATACTACAAAATTTACATTTGCCAAATGTCTAAGTGCGTTTAGTCACTGGTTCTCTTTTAGACCACTTTCTTCTCATAACCGTGCTTTTTATCTTTAAAGTCATGATTATGTTCCAGCTTAGGTTCCAATTTTCCTATGAATCTATCAACAGGGGTGGATTTTTTTACATGTTGAATCTTAACAAACTTCGCTTTCTGCAAAAGTCAGTTGATTCCTTCTTCTTCATCTTTTCTGACAATACCAAATGCTCCCCTTCAGATTTCACCTTTTTAATTGTTATAAAGAGTTTTCTAACTCTTCTTCTCTTGTTTTAGCATGTAGGAAACTTAAATAACTTCTAGCTGTCATCATATGGATATTGATTAATATATTAGGTAGAATAGTCTGGAGATAACCACAGAAAAAGGAAAAAGACTGATTTTGAGTCTTTGCCATTGAGAATTCAGCTACTCTCCGATGTGATTGACTTAATTTATTCATGTTTTTCATGCTTGCATATGTCTTTGCTTTCCCTTGTGGGTTTAGCTGAGTTGGCTTGGCCTTGTTTGTTTTGTAATGTTGCGTGAAGATTTTTTGACGTGGCGTGATAATTGAATGGCTAAAACTATAGCCTAGAACATAACTTTGAAATCCATCAAGAAGAATGAGGAGCCCCAAGTTTATTGAAAATCTGAAAATAACATCACATAACCCTAACCACAGATTTAAAGTTGATTTAAATACCCTAGAGACCCTACGAATCCAAAATGAATTAAAATAGGAAAATTAACAAAGTTTCAAAAAACTGATAAAATATAAAAACTCGATTTTGGATGCCCTTATATGTTAATCAATCTCAGATGCCAGAAAATACCCCTACGTCATGGCAAAGTAATGAGTTTTACTCGTGACGCCGTTCTGCCGTTCTCTTTTGAAGCGACGTGTCATGGGCCTAAATATGAGCTTGAGGCCGAAACTTGCAATTTTAATGATTTGTCCTTGCTTGTACGTCTCTCCAACTTCTCTTCGATTGTTTCTGCCATCTACTCTACATCATTTTTTGGATAAGGTTGTGTCCATATGAAGCAATTTCCAGACCCAAAAATAAATTATTTGAAGGTCGTTTTCATTTTCTCTTTCTTGTTGCCATGACTAGGAGCCATGGCAGATAGCTCAAACTTGAAAGAACCAGGACATGACAAAGCTGATATAGTGCAGTATGGCCTTTGGACAAACCAGTCTCTTTACTTTGGTCCGATATAGACCCTTTTATATCAAAAGGTCCTGTAAACTGTATTTTCCTCCCTTATATTCCCTTTTAATATTATTAGGATTATTGTATTGGGTTTGTCAGAATGCGTGCAGGGGACCATAAGTTCTTCCACATGATAATAATATATTATTGGGTTTTCAATTCAAGTCAACAGTCAGTACTGAAGATAACACAAGCACCAGATTGGGCTTTGTGTTCTAAATTCTTTATACCAATTGATCACTGACATCAAGCAGCTAAAAAACCAACCAAATTTACTTCCACTTAGAGCTCGCATAACAGAAGTTACAAACAAAAAAACTGAAAACCCAAACATCATTAATCCAATAACTATTGTACAAAGATGGGAACTTGCAGAATAATTGCCCCATTTGATTGCAAGCAAACCCTGATCATACTACAGCTTCCTTTGTTTAAGCAATGCAAACTGGAAAAAACCCATGCATATTAAGTACAACCAAACTTTGTTAATAACAACCCCAAAATTTTCTGCTCTAACAGAGAGAGAGAGAGAGAGACACCATTCTTGGTCTGGCACTTCATTCACTTGTTGAGTATCTTGAAGTCCAGTACTTTTCAATCTCCTCTGCTGATCTTCCAGGAATTCTACCAGCAATCAGAGACCACCTGAGAGATATATTTGTAAACACCATATTAGCTTATCCAAAATTCAGGAAACTTTAGATAAGTAGGAGAAAATTAGACATAAAAAGAAGAAGAAGAGATTAGCTCACCTCTCACCAACCAGGTTAAACATCCTAGTGATTAGAGTTTCCTCATCTTCTGAGAAGTGAAGCTTAGAGTCTTGACTACTTTCCTCTGCAACAAATTGAGATAAAAAGGTGTCTATTTGTGAGTTGATCTAAAACACAAGTCATCAAGGAATTGAGTTCATGCATCATGTTTGATCAAAAGGACTACATATTTAAAATAGTTGTAAAACCAATAATTTTTTTTGGTGAAGTAATGCGTTTGACTTTTGATCAGAGTCACATTGAAAGAATTACACAGATTTCAAAGGATCGCCCTATGAAAGAATCATAACAAGTAGAAAATTGGACAGCTAGTTTGTATAATTTGGAACAACCAATAAAATCCTTTCAATGGATTGAAAGGGGGCCTCTAGGCTCTTGGAATGTTTTGATCCAAGTCAGACAATGGAGTAGAAAATTGGAAAAACCAAGTAGAATGATTGGGAAATTAACATCAAATTTCAAAGGGGTACCTCTAGAATCCACAGAATTGTCATCAGAGGTGGAGTGATCCAAGTCAGCCATTGAAGTAGTTGAAAGTATGAGACAAACTGAAGCCGCAAATTTGAAGTGGTTAAGTTGATAGAAAGGAGCAAGTGCAGGAAACTGTGTTTGAAACTGAAGGCAAATAATCTGAGTAGTATAAATAGGAGGAAGATTCCTAAGAAAATGTTGTCTACGGATAGAGGGAAGAATGGGTGGTGAGGTGAGGAAGCCAGAGAAGAATGGTAGTTGGAAAGAGTGGGTTCTAGTCCACCTTTGATAGGTAGTTGAATACTTAACTGTTGGTTGGCATAGAATGTTGATGATTGCAAATCTTTGAGTATTTGTACTCACACCTCCAAATCAGTATACTGTGAGATAAAAACATAATCAAATATTGGGCCCTACCCTCAAACTCCAACTTTTTCTTATCATGACATGATTGTAACTTTCATGATCAAATCATTTTGAGTCATTTGATTATATGCATAATGCATGGGTCTTAAGCTGGTTTTGATTTGCGAAAAAAACAAACACAACTCCTTACACTTAATTCCTCGAAACTCATCATATTAAAAGAGATTTCAAGTTCGAATTTCGTTCATTCTCGTCCATTAGAAAAACATCCCTTGAAACCACAATTGGTTCTTGAAGGTAGGGTAATGTTTGGTATGAGATACATATATTCAAGTGGTTCCTTGGTGGCAGGTGTTTGGTGGGCATGTATTATACAAGTGAAATACACGGGCTGTGTCCTAGCAGTAATTAAGAAAATGCCAAATTAGAAAACAAAAAATATGATACGATTTGACAGCATGATCGTCGACGGCCATTAAAAATATGCAGTTTTGTCCCCGACTAATATTACTTTACTGATATTGCCGACTACAAAGCTGAGCTCCAAGAAATTATCACGCGCCATTTGGAAAAAGTGCTACTGGCAATCGTTCAGGCGTATTTTAACTCTTACCGTTAAAGTATTTTGTGTATGCATCACGATTGAAAGTGTTACCTAAGCAAACAGTTCCAACCACTTGCTCAAGTTGATTTTGGAGAAGTAGACAATTAAATTATCAGTGTCCTTGATGAAAAATGGCACGTTGTTGAGGGTCGACAGAAATCAAACAAAAAAAGTACCCCTAAACCGATGGACCATTTTGGACGGCCAGAGTATATATCTGGCTTTTTATTTATTTATTCTTTTGGTGAATAAAAGTTTAGGGGGAGATTGATTACTCTCACCACCAGTGTCAAAACAGACCCATAAGCTTGAGCAAAAAAACTTACGTGTGGCACCAAACTGCTAATTACCACCAATATGAATTTATATATGAAATTATAAATCGCGCACCAACACTGATAGGCCACACATGATGTAGAAACCTTATCAACTAAATCTAACTCTCGTTGGCTAATAGCGGTTTCGTCATCCACAGGACTTCAAGTCTATTATTATTATTCTTTTGAGCTAAAAGAGATAAGCATTATTATTATTTTAATATTATTAAAAGTAGCCTGTGTTCTTTGACTATATAACACGTAACTGGATATTATGAACTTATCAAGATGATCATTTTCAGACACAATTAAGTAATATAAAAACTAGAAAAATATGTATAAAATATATATATATTTAAATGAAATGAAAATTTAGACTATAAAATAATATGTAAGGAGCTATCATCCATATCCGCTTGGCATAGGATTGGTATCAAAGTCAATATATTTAGAAACCTACACAATATTCAAATCCAGTTCATGTCCTTTTTATTTTGTCGATAAAGTGCAGAAAATTTTACGTATCAACATCTAGGATTCAAACCCAAAATATATATATATATATATTATTTAAAGGTTCAAACCACTATAACTCTCTGGATTGTGGAAGTGAAAAATAATTTAGACTATCACGTGTACAAATTAAAATAATAATAAAAACATGTCGGATGACTTTAAGTGCACCACAACCAGGGGAGCTTCTATAATGAGGAGACTATGTGAGGAGGTTATTTGAGGAGGCCCATCTCACTATCAAAAGGGGTGTGGACCCCCCAATGCACCCCCCCATGTCATTTGTTTTTAGTTGTTGATGGTGAGATTTCATTTCCTCAAATAACCTCCTCACTCAACCTCCTCATTCTAGCCTTTCCGGTTAGAAAAAAGAGACAGAGAGAGAAAAAACTTTTACAAGGGTAAATTCGGTATTTAAATTATCTAGAAAACCTTGTTGGGTGCGGAAAGAAGAATGATGGGTTCCAATACAAAATTCGGCCCATCCTAAATAAAAGAGGAAACGTTTGAGGATCAGCAGTCAGCCCTAATATTGACTATTTTATCTTCAACAGAGTGTCGAGTCTAAAACCCTAATTTCCTCTCACATCCCATCTGCCATTGAAGCTCTGCTACGAAAGCTTCAACAAGAGCTTCGTTCATCCACCGTAAGTCGTTAACTCCTCTTCAAATACACACTTTTTTTATATGTATATGTTTTAGATCGTTATCTGTTTAGCGAATTGAATCTGAAACCTGTTTATTCAGCGAAAAACGAAGCGAAGCATCTGCAATCTTTTTTGTTCTGTTAACGAATTCTGTTAATTTGCTCTCGCTCTCGATTAGGTTTAGTACAAGATTCATATGATTTTGTAAATTTGAAAATATGCCTCAGGTTGATTTACTAACGAACAGGAAGATAAGCTCTAAGCCGAATTTCCTACCTGTTTCGGGGAAAGCAAACAGAAATTTTTGTTCTTCTATATGACCCAAGTTTTTCGAGTTTATGCCGTAAAATTGTGTATTTTTATTTCGGCTTGGTCTGTTAGCTATCTTACAGTAAGATCTTTTTATGTGCCTGCTGAATGCAGATACTTGTGATTTTTCTTGACTTGTTGCGGAATTCTTATACTAGAGAATGTCTTCCCGCTTTTGGACCCAGGTAATATTGTAATGTAATTCGGGTTTCTTCTATATTTAGAGTGAAATCTTAAACGCACAGTGTTTCTTAATTTCTTGTATTTATTTTTGCTTCTTGTCTTATTTTAGCCTGGAAGCTCCTCAGAGGATGAGGAGAGTGACTATGATGAGGAGGTTGAAAATACAGGTGGTGAGGCTAACACTGAACCAGTTGGAAACCGATACCTTGAGGTTAATCAAAGTGACAGCGATGACCCTGATGATGAAAGGCGTGTCGTTAGATCAGCGAAAGACAAGCGCTTTGATGAATTGTCGGCAACTGTTCACCAAATGAAGAATGCCATGAATATCAATGACTGGGTTAGCTTGCAAGAGAGCTTTGACAAGATAAATAAGCAACTTGAGAAGGTCATGCGTATTACAGAGGCTGTTAAAGTACCCACTCTATACATAAAAGCGCTTGTATTGTTGGAAGACTTTTTGGCCCAGGCTTTGGCAAACAAGGATGCTAAGAAGAAGATGAGTAGTAGCAACGCCAAGGCCTTGAACTCAATGAAACAGAAATTGAAGAAGAACAATAAGCAGTATGAGGAATTGATTAATAAGTATAGGGAGAATCCTGAGCAGAGTGACGAGGAGAAGGAAGCAGAAGAGGATTCAGAAGACGATGGATCAGTTTCTGAAATTGAGGATCCTACTGATATTGTAATGTCAAATAGCGATGATGATGGGGATGAAGAAGAAGATGAAAAGGATGACCAAACTGATGAAGGCTGGGAGAAGAAGATGAGTAAGAAAGACAAGCTCATGGATAGGCAATTCATGAAGGACCCAAGCGAGATCACATGGGATACAGTTAACAAGAAATTTAAAGAGGTTGTGGCTGCTCGGGGAAGGAAGGGAACTGGAAGGTTTGAGCAGGTTGAGCAGCTTACCTTCTTGACAAAGGTTGCTAAGACCCCTGCACAGAAGCTGGAGATATTTTTTAGTGTTGTTTCTGCTCAGTTTGATGTGAATCCTGGTCTCAATGGGCACATGCCAATAAATGTGTGGAAGAAGTGCGTGCAGAATATGCAAGTTATACTTGATATTCTTGTGAAGTATCCTAACATTACAGTGGATGACATGGTGGAACCTGATGAGAATGAATCCCAGAAAGGACCAGATTATGATGGGACAATTAGGGTCTGGGGAAACTTGGTGGCCTTCTTAGAAAGGATAGATACTGAGTTCTTCAAGAGCTTGCAGTGCATTGATCCCCATACTCGTGAGTACATTGAAAGACTCAGGGATGAGCCTATGTTTTTGTGTCTAGCGCAAAATGTTCAAGATTATTTAGAACGAGTGGGTAATTACAAAGCTGCTGCCAAGGTAGCCTTAAGGCGGGTCGAACTCATTTATTATAAGCCACAGGAAGTTTATGATGCCATGAGAAAATTGTCTGAGCAGACTGGAGAGAGCGATAATGGTGAAGAGCCTAAAGTGGCCGAGGAAAGTCGCGGTCCATCTCCATTTATTGTAATTCCCGAGCTGGTTCCTCGAAAACCTACCTTTTCAGAGAGTAGCAGGACAATGATGGATATTTTGGTTTCCCTCATATACAAGTATGGCGATGAGAGGACTAAAGTTCGTGCAATGCTTTGTGATATTTACCACCATGCTCTGCGGAATGAGTTTTGCACTGCCCGTGACTTGCTACTAATGAGTCACCTGCAAGATGTTATTCAGCAGATGGACATTTCGACTCAGATACTTTATAATAGGGCCATGGCACAACTTGGTCTGTGTGCATTTCGTAGTGGATTAATTACTGAAGGGCATAGTTGCCTTGCTGAACTATATTCAGGCGGAAGAGTAAAAGAGTTGCTTGCACAAGGTGTCTCACAAAGTAGATATCATGAGAAAACTCCAGAACAGGTATGCCAGTGCTTCTGTTATGTTTTTCCAAGTGGTTATTATTATTATTTGGATCTTATTTTAATGAGGTGGCAATCTTATATTAAAAGTTAAGCAGATTCTAGCAGTAAAAATTCAAACATAAGATCCGAAAGTCAATTACTAATTCAATTAGTGTAGCCTTCTAATTAATAACCAACAAAAAAGTTTGAATTTTAAACATCATATTGAGTTTCCACAATATTCTGATTAAAAAAAAAAGGTTCCACAATTTGAGAAGATGAGCATTGGAATTTATTTTTGTCTTATTCTATTTCCAAATTTAGCCATCTTAAATTATGAATTACCCAACCTTCTATTATTTTTTTCCTCAGATTTTTATTTTTATTTTAGAAAAAACCTTTCTATTGTTGTAAAGTTAGTGAAGACCAAGCCCACATAAAGAAAAGATTGAGATAATAGTCAAAAGGTCAATAATGATGTTGGGTAAATTTACCTATAAATAGGCTTGTTCGATCATTTATAAAACACACCAACGGAGAAGAGAAAAAAGAAAGGAGAGTGAGAAATCTGAGTGTTAGTGAGTGAGTTTCTATTTGAGAGGAAATTTTGTCAGTGTAAATACCACAAGAGCATATATAATTCTACTACCAATATTCAGTGGTACTTTTCATATTCTAATTGTTTTATTTTTATAACACGTTATCAACACGATAGTCTCTCCTATTTACTTCTAAATTTTCCCAACCTAACACTATGTGGTTATTTCTTTGTCTACTCTCTTTCATGTGTCTCCTCTCACTTTACTACTACGACGACATGCAAACTTTCTTTTTTGTATTTTCACAATTTTTATGTTGTTTCATCCATGTTTGTTTAATTTATTTTTTCGTAATTTGCAATGGTGCGGTTTTTATACCCCATCCTGTTATTTTATGGTGGCGTAATTTCATTACCCATCACGTTGTAACACATATTATCGTAATAAAAATGATGGTGTGGTCTTAAAACCCATCTTGTTATATCTTGAATAGTGGTGCAGTTGTATTGCCCACAATATATAATATATACTTCATCATATATTAGGTGGTGGTTTTGTCATCGCATTTACTACGTATTTATAGTAAGGTGTAGGTTTATTACTCATACAACAGTATTTATTTAAAAGTGTGGCACGGATTTATCGTCTACACAACTGCCTCTAGCATTTACTTTATTTAAAAGTGTGATGCGGGTTTATTGTCTACACACATGAGCAACACATACTCAATTACTTTGTGCGCATTGCCTCATCCTTATCCATCAGTATTGATGTAGACTTCTTGCCTTTCATGGAGAATATGAATGTCTCCAATAACTACTTTTATGTTCCAAAGATCTCGTCAAACAATAGGGAACAACCAACACTCGCACGATGGTTGTTTGAACCAACAAATAACACTAGAGGCTTGTCATACATATTGGTTTTGTATGTGTTGTTGAATATGAGGACGTCTCTAGAACCAACATAATCCAAAAGTGAAGTAGAGTATCTCCAAAACAAGTTAGCAAGCCTATTCTCCTAATCTACACTGAACTTACCAAAAAATTCAAGATCTATTGACGCTTTCGCTTTCATGTAGGTGAGTGTAGCTTCAGTGTTGTCGTCTAACAATATTCCCCTACGTGATGCATCCAACTTCTTCCTTAAGGATCCAAGTCATCAGCTCATGCATTGATGGAGGCTTAAATCCTACACCATATGCGGCAATCCCTTTCACCATAGGTAGCCAAAATGGATCATTTACAATATTAAATGGGAGTGCTCTAAAGAAGAAAAAACGCTCAATCTTTCGACAAACTTCCTTTCTTTCTTTTTGTTTGTATGTTGAATTTAATGTACTTTGTCGAGCTTCTAAAGTGACAAATCTATCCATTGGTCCTTTTGATTTAGGTTGTGCTCTAAGAGCCTCATCAACTGCAACACTTCTAGTACCGGGGATTCCATATTCTTTATCCAATAAAGTTTCCATACTCCGAGCCCCTCCTCGTGGACCATCCCTAATCTCTCTAAGAGCAGTTCCATAGAGGGGCTGAGCCCAAGGCTGGGGGGGGAGGGGGGGAATGAAGCTCCAGCGGTCAGCCCAAGCTCGGGCTGGGAGTGGGTCCCACGAAGTAGGGCTGGCCCGAAGGCCAGTGCAGCCCAAGGTCGAACCCGCGTGTTGGGTGACGTCAGCGCACGCGAGTTTAAATTTTTTTACCGTTGGCGGGTGCTGTGTGAGCACCAACGGCTAGAAGACAGGTGTCCTAACCTGGGCGCTCCGATCTGCTTCTCTCCTCCAATCCAACGGCTGTCATTTTTTTGGCAATAAAATTATGAAAAAAAATTGAAATTTTTTTTTAAAAATACTAAAAAAATCTGATTATTTTTTTTTTCTATAAATACCTATAAATACCCTTCACTTTCAACACCAATCCTCATACATTTTATTCTACTTCTACTATTATTCACTCTTTACTCAACATTTTCCTCTCTTTCACCTTGTATTTTTTTTTCTTATTTTTATGTCTTCTTCTATCGAAACCGGAGGGGCGTGGAGCACCATGGAAGATGTTTCCTTGTGTGAGGCTTGGCTCCAAGTTTGTCATTGTCCCGTGACAGGCAATGAGATGAAATTTTTTCATATGTGGAAAAAAATTCATGTAGAATTTTGTGTAAAAATTCCGGGGTTAACTCGTACGGAAATGACATTGTCTAGTAGGTGGAAAATTCTCAATAAAGAGTTGGGAAAATGGAGAGATGCCTTAGCAAAAGCGATGGACAACTATAGAAGCGGGGAAAATCGTACTAACGAGGTAAGTATTTTGTAATTTTCGTTTTATTAAGTTTAATGTCCTAATATATATATTTTGTTAATATTTATTGCATTTTTAATATTTTGTAAATATTTCTTGCATTTTAAATATTTTGTTAATATTTATTGCATTTTAAATATTTTGTTAATATTTCTTGCATTTTCAATATGTTGTTAATATTTCTTGCATTTCCAATTGTTTCTTAATATTTTTTGCACTTCCAATTTATTTGTGAGGTTAATTGCATTTCCATTAATTTTTTTTTTGTTACCTGCATATCCAATATATTTTAAATATTTCTTGCATTTCCATTTTTTTGTTAAATAGATGATTCAAGCACAGATGTGGTTCGATGCAATCGGGGGTGGCAAAAAAAGTTTCAACCATCATGAATGTTGGGAGGTGGTGAAATATTGCAAACGCTTCATAATTATTCACACGGGTCCCGACGTTGTGTTAAACGAGACGCCACTTCGTGATTCAACGACATCGGATTCACCTCTCGATTCCCCTATGAGTCAAGACTCACCAGGCCCATTGGCCGAAAGGCTGCGAAGGCAAAGAAAGCGGGTAATTCAAGTAATAATAATACAAAGTTTTTGGAGGAAATTGCAAGGCAGAATGCCATAAGAATTGAAATGGAGCAAAAACGCCAAGATAACGAGATGGCAATTCAAGCCGAGTTTTCACGAGAAAGGGAGTATTTGCGCAAAAAAGATAGGGAGAAGACGGATCGGGAAACCATGGCGATGGATACAAGCCATATGTCCCCTGAAATAAAACAATTTTGGAAGCTAGAATGCAGGGATGTTATGAGAAGAAAAAGACTTTTCCAAGATGATGGGCCTAGCAACACGGATTGGTTAAATGATGAAAACCATTAAAAAATATTTTCTTTAGTGTGAAATAAATATCATAGATATCAACCGAAAAAGAAATTCTATTTAAAAATGGAAAATTAGCATCACTAAACTAATAATTAATTATGAACGGCAATACTATTGATTTACCTGGACACCTATAAACACAAAGGAAAATTAGGTATTAGACATAGATAACTTTACTTATTAGTATTTAAGACATTTGATATTTTGGTTTGGGTTTTAATACCTAGAAAAGAATTGTTATTTTGGATTAGGCCAAAGAGGAAGACCAGATTTGTTGACCCACCTTACATTAGTCATTAAAAAGACAATTATACCCTTTTCATTTAAAAACATAACCTAAATTCGTTAGTTTCATAGATCTCTCTCTCTCTCTCTCTCTCTCTCTCTCTCTCTCTCTCTCTCTCTCTCCGCGTCTTCTCCCCTTCTCCTCCCCTCTGTTTCGACCGACACCGACAAAACCCCCCAGCCACTGTCACGTCGACCACCCAGCCATCGGACCGGTCAAGTTTTGACCGGCGTCGCACCCCAAGCCAGCTCCGACCTTCCTCCTACCTCTGCTGCTGCTGTTTTGCCGGAAAACTCCGGTTTTGATCGGATTTTTACTCGGTTTTCCAATCCCTCGATCTCTCTCCTCCGGCCCTCAAATCCTTCGATTGAGGTATAGTTTTCTAGCTAGTTTCCATTGTCTTCTTCATTTTTTTTAATAATTTTTTTGGTTTATTTGCCTCTGTTTGTTTGCAGTCCTATTTTTTTTGGTCCATTTGCCTCTGGTTTTTTTTGGTTTATTTGCCTCTGTTTGTAGGGAGTCGATTTTCCAGATTAGATACAAATAATGGTTATCAGATAAGGTTACATTAATCTACAGGAATTGGCTTCAAAAGCGTGGTTCTGATCACAGCTCAGCCTTACATTTTTAGTAATGGTTATCAGATAAGGTTCAGTGAAGAGCCTTGTATGCATTGCAATCTTGGGTACATAGTTCCTGAATGGGTTGAGGAAAACCCAACTATGTCTGACATAAGACAGATATATGGTTCTGGTTCTGCCCTTCCAACTACAACACTGATCTTACCTCTAAAGCATGACAAGGTCAAACCTGTGAAGCAGCAGCTCTCTAAAATGCATCCTGAAGTTCTCTTGTTCAGGGCAGCAGCTCTCTAAAATGCATCCTGAAGTTCTCTTGTTCCTTGCAAAGGTTAAGCGGCTCTCGGTTAGAGAAGTTAATGAGGATCCAAGGCTCAACACTGTAACTGCGATAGCAATATCAAGCAGTACCATTTATGGTGCCATTTTTTGTTAGTTGCTCAGTTCTTGTGATATTAATTTCATATCAGACTTCACATCAATAAAAAGATCTATTGTTTAAATCTCCAGCTTGCATCCTTATTATTTTAGTCGTTGATATCTGTTGTCATGGTTTTTGCTCTTTCCTTAGCCTTCAACCTCACCAATTGAAAGAGTATAGGCTTCCCAGATGAGGAATTGGGTGGGCAAGAGAAGATGGAAACTGCATTGCAGAAAATGGAAACTGCAATGCAGAAAACGGAAACATGAATAACCTATTTTACATTCTAGGTGGTTTTCAGTCTGATTCCCTCTCTCCCAACATGTTTTGAATTAAAAAAAACTATTGTTTTGTTTTGTTTAACTTTAGAGCTGAGCATTTTTGCCCAGGCTCAGCATTTAAGTTTCTATTTCTGCATCGCAGTTTCTGTTTCTGCATCGCAGTTTCTGTTTCTGCATTGCAGTTTCTGTTTCTGCATCGCATTTTCCATTTTAGTACTTTCATCTTGGTTCCTCCATTTTGCTTCTATAAATTTTATTTTATTTTTATATATATAATTGATATCTACATTGTATTTTTGTTTTAGTTTCTGCTTTTATTTGCAGTTTTTATGTGAATATGTGGTGAAATGATTTTTTTTTAATTTTTAAAACCGTTGATCGTTTATATGAATATTGTATAATTGAATAAATATTACAAAATCAAGTTTGGTGTAGTGGTTTGTGAGTGAGCCCTCTTCCTTTGAAGGTCAAGGTTCGAGTCCCTTTAATGACACAAAATCTTCTTTTTTTAAAAAAAAGTGAATAAGGGGCAACGAAGTTGGTCCCATGCAGACGGTGGCGGTTGCTGGCTGGCGGGGCTGGAATCCGGCGGTGGTAGGTGGCCGGTGGCGATAGGTGGCCGGCGGTGAAAGGTGGTCGGAGGTGGCCGGCGGTGGGGGTTGGCTGGATGTGGACATGTGGCATAGTATGCTTGCCTTAGAAGGAATGGCATTGTGTGTAATTTTGATATTTTTTTAATGATATTTTTGTAAAATTGGGTACTCATTTTGGTCTTTGGCCTTATGCTAATTAGATGAAATTGTATTTCTTTCTACTAAATTAGTAAACTATATTTTGGTCTTTGGCCTTATGCTAATTAGATGAAATTGTATTTCTTTCTACTAAATTAGTAAACTATATTTTGGTCTTTGGCCTTATGCTAATTAGATGAAATTGTATTTCTTTCTACTAAATTAGTAAACTATATTTTGGTCTTTGGCCTTATGCTAATTAGATGAAATTGTATTTCTTTCTACTAAATTAGTAAACTATATTTTGGTCTTTGGCCTTATGCTAATTAGATGAAATTGTATTTCTTTCTACTAAATTAGTAAACTATATTTTGGTCTTTGGCCTTATGCTAATTAGATGAAATTGTATTTCTTTCTACTAAATTAGTAAACTATATTTTGGTCTTTGGCCTTATGCTAATTAGATGAAGGAAATTAGGTGAGCCTTCAGTCATGTTTGTTTTGAGGCTGACCTAACACTCTTAACTTAACACCTTTGAAAAATATTCCTTCACGTCAAGAAAAACACCTATTTGCTTACCTCATTCATTTTTCACCATCAATTGCAAATTTCTTCATCATCCTCGTCCATTATGATCTTTTTACTCAAAGATTACACCTCAGCTATAGGCTACATTTGTCCCCCAAAAAAAATATGATTGTATATATTTTTTTTAAAAAAATACATGTGTTTACGTATCACTACCTTTACCAAAAACCGACACCATTTGTTGATTAACTAAATCCAAGTTTAATGTTGTAGGCTAATAGTAATCAAGTTTATTTCGCTCACAACATTAAAATAAAGGCAATCAAAATAATAAAAAGTTGCTTTCCACATAAGAAAATGAAAGGAAAAAGAAAAATGATGAGAATGATATATTGTTATTTTAATAGTGACGTGCCCAAAACACCGAATTTAAAATCATTCTACGTAATATGAACAGCATGTTAATAATTTATAATTAGTTGAAAATAACTAGTGTGATGGGACAAGTGAATATTGGACACGAGGAACTCATCATCTTAATGCTTAGGTCTCACTCGATCAAAGTTAAAAAAGAAAAGATAGCAAATCACTAATGCCGAAAAAGAATGCAATGTATCTAAGAATGTTTGTAAAAGTTTACAAATCTAATGCTTAAATTTCAATCAAAATGAATAAATTAGACAATTAGTATGTGTTGGAGTAGATTACCACGAGACTTAAATCTCACGCCAAAATCAAAAAATTAACAATAATCATGCATGCACAAGCATTTTCCAGCATGTGCACGTGTCGACATCTTGTGTCGTTTGCGTTTTACAAGCCGATACGAAAAGATGAAAGAACGATGGGCCTACGTATGTGTATGTGTATCAAAACAAATTGGTGGCACATGGCGTGTAAAGAAAGAGCTGGTAAGGTCGACCCACGTGGCACAATTTGCAACTTCACGTTGACGACTGCCGGCTGCCATATCAACAAACTTAACCGCCCCAACCCACCACGTCATAGCCCACGTTGATGTTCCACGTCGACATAACATTAAGTGGAATGACAAAAGTAGCCATGTCCGAACACGAATATTTGACTTTTACCATGAAATAAACGGAGATGGCTGGTGTGAAGAGTTGAACTGTTGTAGCGTGGGTTTTGAACGTTGACTTGACTGAACCCACAATTTCGAGCCAAACTCGAAGGGGACAAAACTTTTTAGTAAACTTGTGGAATAAATATATTTAAATAATTATAAATTAAAAAAACAAGGGCAATTGATAGTAATTTGACAATATAAGAACCAGTCAAATAATAGAATCTTTGGCCCTAGAAAAGAAGAAAAAGAAGATGGTTTGGTAAACCTCTTGGCATGGCAACAGAGAATTTATAATACAAAATTTTGACCTCAAGAAATCCATTCAAATTTAATGTTCACACGCGAAACCTTTCAAATCAATTTTAAAAGGAAATGATCTGATACGCGAAACCTTTCACATAACAAAATCGTCATTGATTGGCCGATCACAAGTGGATATGCCTTCCCATTGGGAGATCCATCCAATTTTGTAAATACTAATTGTCCCGTCAATTTATGAAGATTTAATACCAAGATTAGAAAATAATTGAAATTAAGATTAGATTCGAGATAAATATCTATAGAGAGAGAGAGAGAGAGAGAGACATCATCTAGAAGGAAGTTCATTATGTAGTTGTGAATATCCATGTTGTGACCGTCAGATCAATCTGATCTTGGACTTTGATTGGTGATCATGTGGTTGTACAACGTGTAGATGATGTGATGGAATACAGAGGATTACAACTTTACGTGTCAACGAGGTCCAAAAGAGTCGACGATTTGATCTTTTTCCACCAAACTTCTCTTCCTTCCCTGCCATCCTACGTCTCATACTTGATCTTCTTCTCAATCTCCCCGACCTTCTGCTCTATATATACCCACATGCTTCTCAACTGCCCTGTAAGATTTACATACAGATATATACAGAAACATATACTAGCTAGAAAAAGAAAATAGGATAAGTATAGTTGGAAGCAGAGCCTCTGTGAATCCACAACAAGAAGATGGAGAACAGGAACAGCAACAACAACAACAGACAGAGGGAAGGCGTTGAGGAAATTGGCTTTCCAGTTCACAGCCAAGTGAGAAAGATCAAGCAAGAATCCGAGAAAATAATTGATTGGTTGCCGGGAAAGCCAGAGATGAGACCTGTCCTTGGAGAGATCACCATGACCAGGCAGATCTCTCGATCCCCTTTGGGAATTTCTTGCTGACCCATCTCTGTTGGTGACTCTTAGGAGGAGTCCTCGTTTCTTCGAGCTTAGTGAAGATGGGGTTTTTGGTGGATGGTCTATGCATCTTTCTAGAATTGAAAAACAGAGGGTTTTATTCTGTTTTTTTTTCTGCTCTTGCTCCCCTGTTTTCTTTTTTCTATATCTACTACTTTTTGGCCATGTTCCCTTTGTAAATAATACATATTTTAGTTTAATGATATGGCAGTCTTGCTCCTTTTTGAATTTGGCTGTCTGGTCTTGAGGATCATAGGTTGCAGATTTGATTGTTTTCATAGAATATCCATCAGTCAAGATTGTCTTGAGGATCAATGGATCACAACAATAATCTTGTTGTGTTTCACTTTGTTCTCTTATTTAGACAATATGTACATGTTGAGGCAGATACACTTTAGCAAACAATACAAAGTTGTTTGCTCTTTGGTGATCTAAGGATATAATAGAAATCATGTGTGATGTTGGGTTAGTATCTCAGAAAGTGCTCATCTTTGGACGTTCTTGGTTCTTGTTGTACATTTTTTTTCTTCCATGAAGAGGTACGGTTGGTGTTTTCTTTTCATGATCAACCAAAAGGTTGGCGCCATATCTGTGTTTGGTAGCAAGAAAGTTCAAGTTTGATTGAGTATTCTGGAAAGACTATACTTTGGGCAATCTTGATTGTTTGTATGCTCTAGGTTTTAAATGAAAGGTCAAAGTTGCTGATGGGTCTCTCCCAACTGATATTAAAATACAAAATTTGGTTTAATGAAAAAATACTTTAAAATGTTATGTACAAAACAAACCTACACTAATATCTTATGCTGATCACCATCATTGACCTCTTCTTTGTATTTTTTTGGAACACAAATTACTAGTGATTCTATATTTAGTTACACCCAACCATTCAACAAAATAGCCTGAGGGTGTGGAGATTTCATGACACTTTTTTGTGTATCTTAGCCCGAGGGCGTGGATGGATATTGTTAACAACTTAAAAAGACTGCAAATTTGCCGCAAACGCAAGCTTTCTCAAGAAATTATTAAGATAGCAGTTGCAG